TTTCTGTAACAGAATAATATATAACACATTTTCAAACAAAACCAGTCTGGAAAGATTTGCAAATGGTGTTTAGAGGATCTCATTAGCAGGTCAAAATTATGCCACAACTTGGAGTAGCAGCCTGAAAAGACATGATGCTATTCAACAAAAAGAGGTGATTATTCCCATCTAGGCAGAAGTTACCACTAGCATATAGCACTGGGTATAATTGGAGCATGGGGCCAGTTTTACATTGCAAGACAAATGCAAGACACAGTGAAACTGGTACAGCTGTTCCTGACCTGAGGCTGGAGGTGGGTCAGCTCTTTCAGACTAGATTTCCTTTGCTTCTGATGCCTTAGGATTTTTAGGACTTTTAGCTTTTTGTAGATTTGTAAGTAGCCATGTAGTAACTATAGATTTTTAGTATAGTTGTATTGTCTCTCACATTTTAGAATAGTAATTAACACTTACCAAAACCTATTCCCCACTTCGTATCAAATTTTCTAAATTCTTTAGGCTTGTTTAGGCTCCTTTCAAGGCAGGACTATGGTAAATACATCTTGTTTAAGAACGTGTGCACCCCAGGCCAGGACAACAAGATATCATCATAGTCAAAGCAACCTTCAACCCTGGAACCCTGAGAGGGGTTCTCGGATCGGACCATAAATTGTGGAACCCCTGGATACAAGCACATGCCTTTGTACTCCATGAGCCAGAAGGCCTTAATTAAAAGAGCTGCTCTCTATTTTATCTGTACTAAATTTGCCTGGTGAGTTTTTTCTCCTGATTTTAGGCAACACTTCCAATGTCAACTTTTAGCAACAAGAGAAAGCGTAACGTGTAGCTAGGAGAAGCCTGTTTGCATTTTCTCCCAAGGTGACTAAATGGGCCTATAAGCTGACACAGACACATGACTTTAGCTCTGGGCTGAATTCCAGCTTATTAGCTCTCCTGAAGACTAAATTTCTGACCAGGATACAGGCACAGTATCCCCACAGACATTAGTGAGAGCAGCATAAGCATACTCAAGGTCAAAAGATAGACCTCCTGCTTTAGTACTTCCTCTAGTTTTTGTTACCCATAAAATTCCAAGAAACATGTTCATGTTAGAAGAAGAAAGAACAAATGGAATAAAGGTAATTCAATGGCTAAAACATAATTGCTCCTAATCCTATCTCTCTGTAGCACCTGCTGCCAGTAGCAGCTGTAGGAGCTGGAGCTAGAATTTAAAGTTATATGAGTAATTTAAACAATTTATGTGCCAAAATTCATATTACTAAAATATATCCTCAGGGATGTTTCAAAAGCATAAACATTTACAATTAATGCAAGAGAAAAAAAACAAATCAGGGGGTTGAGTTTTGGGTTTGGTGTTTTTTCCTTTATAAAGACCTTTATAATTGTGGATAAATTGGATAATTTTGCCTGCAATGAGGGAATGCATCAGGCTGATTTTTTTAACCTTCACAAAACGATTTCTCATCAGACACTGAGTGAAACAACTGTGAAACAACAAGCAAAAACTGGTACTGCTGAGTGAGAGGTGAATCTCACTTGGAATTTTATCTGACCCTCACAACAATATATCTAAGTGATTCACATTCTTTAATACATTTATAATGAACCTTTAAGATAAAAGACAATCTCTCTGTCTTATGGAAATGTACTACAGCATAGTTAAGATATCTCTCACATTTACTAGACAGGAGCCTGCTCTGGATTTACTCATTATATCGTCCTAATAACTTGATAGACTGGGTATAGCCACCCTAATTAAAGCATTCCTTCTGCAAAGAATTACTCAGGCATCACTGAAAGGCAGAATTGCATGGCCAATCATATGACTAAGAAATAAACTGCTTTTTTACATCACTGAACTCTCATTGCTCTGCTATGCCTGTAAAAAGCAACACTTTGGCTTTGCATACCAAAAATACCATGCCTTTTTCTTGCTAATGGTAAAATCATAGGAAAGGGGAAAATCTGCCTTTATAACATCAACCTTTTGTTCGTCCTATGAGAACTGTGACCACCAAATACAGTTCAAGCAACAGTGTTAGAATAGAGCATAGCATCTATTCTATTATCAGAGGACAAATATTTTCATGTAAACTCCAGTTGTGCACAATCCCCTGCAAAGTCACCATAACAGAATCTGCTACAAGCAGATTTTCTATTTTACAGTGACACCTGCAGTGTTGGGAGGAAAGCGCCACTAGCAAGAGCAGCGCTGTTCAGTTGTTTTGTATTAAGACACATGCTGATTAGCTTTCAGGGCAGCCTGTGAAGAAGCACAACACGATGTCAGGCTTGGAAGACGTTTTCCAAAGAGCACAGGTCCACCACAAGCTCATCTATAGGCTTGATTAAGAGCAGGGGTTGATTAGCTGGTGTTACTAAGGAAGCCAGGATTTTTACTCCCCACTCACTGTGGCAGGGGGAAATCACATCTCCTTTTGAAGTCCTGTTTGGTGCAGTGATCCAGTGCCCTGTATGCAGAGACGCTCATGACAGAGGAACTTCACCGTTCCCAGCTGTCTGCAAAGGATCCACGTCATGCTAGTTTTTCATCTGCCAAACAGACTGATTTACATGAATACAAAGAGAGCATATGGTAAGAGAACAGCTACAAGGTAATCCTGTTAAAAGATGTACTCTTTCTGGGGAAAGCTGGATTGTTCCAGCTGAGAAGCTAAGCCTGCTCTTGTTAGTACGAGTAAGTTCTGGCCCATTTCTCTTTTGTTATTCCCCTTCTTGTTGTTTGTGTCCAGCCACAGGCTATAGGGGGAAGCGGGTTTGGAGCCATAACTAAGCGATACTTGGGAGTGTGTCTGTACAATTATATTCCAACCATGTTATTTGATTTAAGTACCAGACCTGTGTTAAGGGGAAACATGGGTATGCCTCTACTAGAGGGCCACAATCCAGTACGTGATGACAACTGAAATAGAGAGATAACAATCCTAAAATCCTCTGGAGAGATCAGTACATCAAACCAGATGTTTCAGGCCACAACATGCAATTTACAGCTGCCCAAATTTCTCTCAAGGGGCAGTCTTGTTCTTTAATCTTCATGTTGTTGCTGTAACTATTCCTTCCTGTGATTTTCTTCTACAAGGCAAGTCACAAAGCAGTAGAGACTCATATAATCCAATGGAGGTTTGACTAAGGGGATAGGTCATAGATGGGGATTGGGGAAGCTTGGCCATGATTCCGGGCTTTACTGGCAAGCTTTTCATTGCATTGGATAATGCCTTTTTTGCTGCTGCTTGCCCCTCCTTTATCTCCATTGCCTGTTCAGCCTGAAAGCCCTAGAATTAAATGATGTCTTGCATGTTTGTACAACCCTCAGCATGCTGCAGCCCTTATCTCCATGTTGTGCAATTCTCTACTGACCATAGTGTTCACTGCTTGCCTGCAAGAACTTTCTGAGAGCATTTTGGACAAATGCCTACTTCTACAAGGTGTTAAAGGGCCTGGTTTAATAGCACTTTGTAAGAATTTTCCCAGGTTTCCTACAGAAAAAATATAGCAATTCTTGTCTAAAATTCGATCAGCATTCAAAACTGTACTCTAAGTAGGGCAGCATCCACGTGTCCTGCAATTAGGTCTGTCTGATGATTCAGACCATACATTTTCTGTGTGACTGAAAGAATGAATCCCTTAACCTTTTTACATTGACTAATCAGCCCAGAAATCCTTCTCACCTTGTGTCTCCACTGCCATAACTTCCATAGGCTATCCCCTACATGACCATTGACATGTGTTGTCTTTGACTATTCTATTTTGCGTTATTGTTATCATCATCATTATTATTACTTTCTTTATAATATTCCACATTTACCCAGATAATTTTACACACTTTAAATTCTTATTCTGTCATATACAGTCCCTCTATTCCATATATTGTTCTTTCACAGAACATAAGGTAATTTTGATAAATATATCATATATCAAAATGTATATATATTTATTATCCTTATCTACTAATTTGACTTTCAAGTCAGTGGTGCCATTTCTTACCAGACATTGACTGAACCTGCTTTTCTAGTCTACTCTAGTGAATAAGCACAACTGTCTTCGGCTTGGGGAAGGCAGGAATAGCTACAGTCGGAGGATCTGTATCACCTTTTTCAGGTCTGAATTCAGCTGAATGTGTATAAACCATCAACCCTTTCATTCTGAAATGATAGTGGTTGGACTACTTGCCTAATCTAGTCCTTTATAACTTAAAGCATGCTCTGTTTTATTCTGTATATCTCAGATACTACAGAATTAGAATAAAATGTAAAACCTTTGCAAGTGCTTAAGCAGTGTGTAACTTATTCCCCGAAACAATTATTTCTGTGGAGGCTGAGGTGTGTAACCAGGCAGTTTGAGAGGACAAGGGACAAAGGACAAAACAAATCATTCATTCTGAGTACATTGTGGAAGTCCAAGAAGGAAAGAAAATGCAATGAAAGCTCATTTCACCCCTGCATGCTGTATGTTCCTACATGCTCAAGACATGGATAAAAAGATAGATGGGAGGTGACTGACTTCTAAGAGTTGCTCAGCAAGCTAATGACAGTCAGAAACAGACCTTGACCCAGTGCCCAGGAAACACAGGCACAGCGGGGCTGTCTGCACCTCAAGAGCAAGCCTGACCTTAGATGCAGGAGAAAGTAAATTCCTTCTGATTCTGAAAGATCATCTTCTTTTTTGAAAGTGTGACATGGAAGACCTCTCTAGGTTTGCTGTGAACTTGGTAATCAAACAGAGAAGCAGATAGTGCATCAGTGTGTCACTGGTGCAGTGACACGTAGACTAAAAATTCAAGATCATCAACAGTGAAGCAAAGGTAAAGCTGTTTCTTTGTTCCATAAATATCAAACAAGATATAACCTCTGAAGAGTTTTTCCAGTCTAGTCTAACGGAAGGTGACCCTGCCCATGGCAGGAGGTTTGGACCTAGATGATCTTTAAGGTCTCTTCCAAACAAAACCATTCTATGGTTCTATGATTCCATAATCTTTCATTTCAGAATTACTTTTTTTCCAAAACATGGACAATTCAGGTTCAGCCATGTATTTGTTTCTATAACAGGAATGCCTGCAATTTATCAAATAAAGATGCCATCAGTGATCTTCAGTTGATGCAGATCAGTACAACTCCATTGAAGTTCTGGGAGTTCACGTCGGGAAAGAAAGGGCGCTGCTTATTTTGGCTTGTCCCATAGCTACAACAGAGCTGAGATTTCTAAATTGTTGCACCACAGGAGACCAGACAACTTCAAGCTACTACTGTTAGTTTTTCTTGTGAAATCTAAACCTGCTTAATAATATTCCCCTTGATATTTAACTTCTGGAGACACTGTGTCTGAGGTCACCAGCTGAAGAGTCAAGTGTAAGGACAATTTTTCTTTGTTACCTTGGGACTTCCATTTTCAGCATTTCAGCCTCTAATAACAAAGTAAATATTTTCAATACCAGTAGTCAAGAAGGTTTAAAACTTTCAGTAAAGCCCACTTAAACTTCCAGTAAATACCATTTCAAGTGAGAGATGATGTTTTAAATTCTTTCTTATTTTATTTGCACCAACTGTCCCTAGCTTACCATCAGCTAGAGCTTGCTAAAACTTGCAGCTGGTATCCTTTGAAAACTTCTCAGAAAGCAGAGTAAAGCTTTCCAAGGGGTCCCCCGAACACCTGCTAATTTAAAAGCACATAATGATATATTGTTAATGGATTACTTCCTGTAGCAATAACACTTCTCACTCTTTTTTTGTTTGTTTGTTTGGGGGTTTCTTTGTTTTTGTTTCCAAACAGTGCGACATGATGGCTGACAACAAACATCACACTCTGAAGTCGCTTAATAGCAGTCACCTCCTACCAGAAGAGACCGAGCAGCAGACATCAAAAGTGGAGAAAAGTCAAAAAGAAAGTAAGCTGTAGAAGCAACATATGATCATTTAAAATTGATGAGAACCTGGGAAATTCCTTTATTTTTTCCCAGAGGAAAAAGGACAGACTTAGTTTTTTCTATTAATTTATGGCTCACCTCTCTGATGGTCAGAATCACATAGGGATTAGGATGCATAAAGGAATTTTGGAGGGCTGAGAGCACAGCGTTACTCAGGTAATGCAAAGGAAAGCCATAAGCAACCCATCAGCTCTGGATGGTTGTCAGTCAGAGGAGACAGATATGTACCAGGACAGGTATATTGGGTAGGATAGAGCTGAGGATGTCAGGCTGAACTGGCCAGTTCATGGGGTAATTGAAGCCTGAGGTGTTGTTGAGCAGGAAAGGAATTAAGGCAATATTTTGCGTCAACATTTTTAAAGACTAAATAACCATTTTTAGTCAATAGCAACATTCACCCACCAGATACTTTGTGCCTCTTTAGGCCACCGCTTCCATTTCATGGTAATTAGAATTAGTGTGCTCTGTAATTACCTCAAAACAAAAGCCATTAAGTCCATCTCTGCCTGTAAGTCACTGGTAACTGAATATTACAGTGGTCTTCTTTGTGATGCTGTATATGACAAAGCAAAAAAAAAAAAGGTTAAGCCCTTGTTTCATGTAGTAACAGGTATCTATGTCAGCAGCAGCCTGGTATTTTGGTAGAGGTGTGCCCTTGTTACTGTGAATCACACTTGGATGTAAACTGAAGCAGTAAAGAAAACCATGGTCATCACACTAAAACAGTTAAGGCAGCACATTTTTAAAGACATTTAGTGTAACTCCAGCAAATGTGCTGTGTTGGAACAGGAACACCAGACACAGGGACTGCCAGAAGTGTTTTTGGCCCAGGAGCGGGTTCGCTGCTTGGCTTCACCAGCAGTGACCCTGAGCCAGGAGCTATTTGGAGAGACGTGGGAAAATGCCTCTCAAATTCCTCTAGATGGCACAGCACCTTGACAAATCTGGGAACGAAGGTGCTTGGCAGACAGCAGGAGCCAGACAGCCTCCACTTGTCTCCTGAAAATGGCTTTTCCTGCTGAATTGTGGCTAATTGTTCTAATTCCACTGTTAGAATGGAGCTCTTTCTTAAATCAAGGTAGGCTTTTGTGCCCAAAGTCTTGCCTTCCCCATCAGCCTCCCAGGGCACCTGGGCTTTGTCAGCTCTGGACACCCATGCAGGGATGGAGCACATCCCACTGGAGGTTATGCCTTATGTAAGATCTGGAAAAGATAAAGATGGAAATTCTTCTTACTCTGTAGCATGCTATGCTCAGGATTTAGCAATGAGCTGCTGTTCAATTGAATCCCATGCTCTCTAATAACGGAAATTTTTTCCATGAGAAAAGAGTTTTCATAAAGCCACTAAGTGGCATTGCTGGCCTGTAACAGTAGATCTGAGAGAGACACACAGAATGGTTTCTACAGAGCTACAAACCACATTGCTCCTTGAGTTACTAGAGGAAAGTAGTCTGACCAAGCACATCCAGCTTTCAGTAACAGGACCTCTCCTGTGCCAAATTCACTTACAATGGTTTACTCATCTGTTGATTCGCATCTCTTTCTTCTGAAGCTTCTGTCTCATTTTTAGGAGTGGATCATGAATTGCTTTAACTCTCACATTGTGAGGACAGAAGAGCTGTGTCTTTTTAACCCCAGCTGAGGATGGATACTGACATCAGAATTTCTTGGATTTATTACTAACCCTGGCTGGTACATCTGCTGCTCAATCCCAGTAAACAAGCAACTTCTTCTATCTCCTAGAAAAGTCAGACTGTTCCTAATTAAGCAGTTAGCAATTATATATTTGCCCCCAGAAAACTCCCCACCAGGCTCTCTGCCTTCCCAAATATTCTGTTCACATTTAAAAACACAGTAACATGGGGGCAGGATCTAGTCCATACAGAACTAAATTATGCCCACACTGACACAGAGCACAGGAGATTTACAGAAGGCTTGAGATATACACCAAAGGGGAAAGTACATTTCCCTTGACCACACAGCACTCATCAAAAGATAATGAATATACAAATGACTTTTGACATGCACAGAAAGTTGTAGGCCCAACTCAAGCAGCGTTTCCCCCCTCAAAGTCACCTTGGCCACTTTGTTGGTCCAGGAACATGCATAAATACAAATGAGCAAAGTGTTCTTCACCAAGGCCACTGCTGTTCTTTAACATGCAAAAGATCATTTCTAGAACACCTTGCTTGAAGCATATAGGGGCTCTTAATGCAAAGTATTTTTAGATGTAATATTTCTCAAGGCACAATAACTCTGGAATCAAAACCAAGAAGAGGTTGTTAATTCATGATTGCGCTGGCTTCCTTGTGAGTGGCAGCTCGTTAAGGTAGAGAGACTTTATGCATGAGCTGAAGTGTGAACCAAGATCATCATGCTGATTGTTTCTAGCTTACACTGTTCGCTTTTTTTGCACTAGCAGTGCTGCTATACTAGCACAAAGAAAATAAAGAAATACATGGTAGGCAGGAGAACAGTGACTAACCAAAGAGTCTGTTTACTTTGAGTGGTTGCAGTGTTTGAAGACCCTCAAGTTTTATTGCACATAGTTCTCCCTCTGGATCAAAATCATATTACCATTTGTGTTTACAGCTTGTAAGCTAAAGCAGTCATGTATTTTCCTGTATGGTCTATTGCTGTCTGGTTGTAGAGAGCTCCATCTGCTGCAGCTTTTTCCTTACACCACATAATGATGGTGTATTAATAATCAGAAAGCAGCTATGATCTGTCATTCCAGGCACCACCTGTTTTCAATCATATATAGGGAGATTTTGTTTAAAATAAGTAATTTAAATACTCATCTTTGTGCTCTGCACCCACCAAAGTCCCTTCTCTTTGACCTTCTTTCTCAAGGTGCCTAAAAAAGAAGGAAGATCTTCTAGTACTTAAAGGGGGTTTATTAAAAAGAGGGAGAGTGACTTTTTACGTGGGCAGATAGTGCCAGGACAAGGCAGAACAATTTTAAACTAGATGAGGAGAGATTTAGATTAGGTGTTAGGAGGAAATTCATAACTGTGTGGGTGGTGAGACACTGGAGCAGGTTGCTCAGAGAAGTCGTGAATGCCCCAACCCTGGAAGTGTTCAAGGCCAGGTTGGATGGGGCTTTGAGCAACCTGGTCTAGTGGAACACATCCCTGCCCATGGCAGCAGGGTTGGAACTAGATGATCTTTAAGGTCCCTTCCAAACCAACCATTCTCTGATTCTATGATTTCTGCATCAGGATTTTCAGCAAAACTGCACCAGCCTTATTAGCAGCAGAGAGGTTTTTGAGGAAAAGTGTATGTGTTTGCAAAGTTTAACTATGTCATCCTCCTATTGTGTATGCTCCTGCTTTCTGTACAGTATCCCCAGGAATTCTGAGAAGTGAGGAACATCGTGACTTCACTGGCATGATTTGTTTTGCATCCATAATTGCCCAGGCTGCATGTACGAAGTTGGTCCTATGGTTTTGGAGAGTTCAGCCTGCTGCCTCTCTGGGTTATTAGAGGGACTCGGGGATTTAAAAACAACACTACTGTCAGAAAGCTTTGCACCTGTTATTGCCGTAAGTAACAGCTCATGTCACCCAGGCAGGCCAGCAAACACTGCAGCAGCCATGTCATGGACTGAATCAGCCCATGTCAGGCTCTGGTGAGCAAACAGATGGTTTTCAAGCCTCATTTATCCCTACTTGCTAGTCTTCCACTATGCACAACTCAGAGAGATCATACAGCTGGCACTCAGTGGTTTTATTCAGAAAGGAGCTAAGCACAGTGACACAGCACTGTGTCTTCCCTCTGCCTCCATTCTGAAGAAAGTGGGCATCAAGGGAGCTCTGTACCTGTCAGGGTTAAGTCATTAATGCCATTTACCTGGAAGGGCTAAGTCATTAATGCTTGTAAAAACAATGGAAAGGAAAACAAGGTGGACATATCCATGCTGCTTTGGCATATCTTTAACTAGAAAGAAAGTGATGCTAAACTGTTGAAAATGTTACTAGCAAAGCAGTTGAGAAGGGGGGTGTCTATTTTGTGTATCACCTCATTCTTGCCCGGTCTTTAGCAGTACCATAATAAAATGGATGAATAATTAAAACTATGTCCCAACACACAATTATAATTTAAATCCTATGCTAATCCTAGCAGTACACTCTCTTGTACCTGAGAGGAAAGGGCGGGAATAAAAACCAGACCTGGCTCCAAGCTAAACAAGTGTCTCCTCTGGAAAGGTAATTAACAGCTGGTCTCCATGGAGCCTTTATCACAAAATCAATAGAAGTCAGTTCTGATTTGCCTTGTTCTTCTTTACTTTGTGTTGCTTTCACTGTTTATAAAAATGTTTGTAGGTTCGGCTGTTGGACTCTCATTGGAAAAATGAGGCTAAGAGGGTTGTGTCCACTGAGGTGCATGAAATCATGTAAGTTTGTCTTGTTCAGAGAGGTTTTGACAAATCTTAATTTCAGGATTTCACTCTACCTGCACTTTCCTGAGCTTCCTATGGCAAGCTGGCATTTTTATCTTCTTGTGCCATTACAGAAGCCATATCAGAATTATGACTTTCCGTTGATTTTGTACTCAGTAATATGACTCGGGACTTTTTTTAAGACTACTGTGACAGCAGCTGTCCTAAACACAAGAAAATTTAGGAATAAAACCAATGTTAAAGTGGAAGATGGAGCTGTTTCTATAGTTGCGCACACAGATGAGGCTCCCTCTAGGATCATCTGGAAAGGCTTTAGAAACCTGGAGTGAATTCAAAGAATCACAAATAATTAAACTTAATCACACAGCTAAATATACACATTTTATCAAAATGGGAGAGAGGAAATGGACATTTATTGAAATGGGGATATCCTTGCAAGAGAGGAATTGCACAAGAAGGTTAACAGAGTCTCTGTCAAATGAGTGTTCAACCCAGATCAGACGGTCTTCTAGAAGTCTTATCACGGATAATGTAAAACCTGTTTGGCCTCATGCAGAAATCTCTGGATAACACTCTAGCCAGTGTCACAAAGCATGTTAGACTAGGTGAATACAGTATTTTATTCTGACCTTAAATCACATGAGCATTTGATTTTCTAGCTGCCTGGTATGGTCAGCATGGCTCACAGCTCTCTTTTTATATATCTTCAGAAAAAACAAGACTGTCTCAGATAGCTTGCACTAAGTCCACAAAGGACTCAGAAATTAAGTCTGACTTCCCATGCCTTTCCAGATCAGCTAATGATCTAGATCTTGTTCCCTTTCTAGCTACCCTTTTTTTGGTTTTTCTCATTTACCCTGACCTTCGGAGCTGTAATAAGAAGGAACCTGAAAGTGGAATATGTTCCCTTATCTGTTGGCTCTATCCCAAGATACAGCAGAGCTGCCTGGGAACACAGGCTTTATGTGGTACCAGGGTGTTAAATATTTATTATATAATGTGTAACCTACACACCTTCTTTCCTTCACATCCTTTTTTTCACCCCTAATAAACTTGCTTGGCTACAAACAGGAAATCGTAACTTAAAGCAAGCCCTGCTGCTCTTCGTGTAATTGGCAGGGAACAAACTGTTGTCAATAACAAACCAGAAGGATATCAAGAGGACTTTTTTTTTCACATAAGCAGTGTACAGTGCACAGAACTTTTTTCCTATGGATTCTGTATCAGTTTTTCCCCGTACCCTTTACAATAAAATGAGGAAATGAGATTAAAATTTCAATACTGAAAGCACAGTGGCCATTTAGGTTATACTTTGTTTAGTAGTGCTTCATGTTTACTTTGCCGATATAACCTTTCCAGATATTATCCCCTTCTGGTACGATAAATAAATATTATCTTTAAAATAAAGCTTTACATCACTGCATACGTAATAGGTCTGAAAACATGGACGCTTTGTAATCACTATATAGCCATTTGTAGGTATTGAGCTGCCTGTCAAGTTGTGAGCTTTCATATGTGCAGAAAGATAAAGAGTGAGATGAAGAATGAGAACTTGTTGACCCAAATGCTATCTGTAAAACCACCATCTGCAAGGACTGCAAGGAACGAAAGTTCTCTAAAAGAAATGTTGGATTTCTCTTTGAAGTTCACATACTTTTTGATCTTCTTTCTGCTCTCAAAATAAAAAAAATTAAAAAAAGAACAATTCCAGAAACAATAGAGAAAGCAAATGCATCTATTTCTAGACATATTTTTAGCTTTTTGAGGAAAAAATAGCAGCTGATCCAAGCTGATCATGAATAACAATTTCTAGGTCAGGGTCCAACCTGCCACCATACTAGAGAACACTGGAAGCTGAGACTAAGACTCACAAGGACAAATCAGTTGTCTCCTTCTACCACTTACCCTTGATTCCAGGGGTTTCCATCCCAGCACTGTCAGTCAGGGGTTTTAATTTTGAGAAATAGAAAATATCAACAAATTAGACCACATGTCTTCTAAAGTCAGTAAAAAAAGATACTTAAATAAGTCAGTGCAGCCAAGTTCTCACAATGCAAAAAATTAGTTGAAATGGCCATTCCTCTTTCATCTCTGTAAATCATGGAGGATTTTTATAAGTTCATCTCCAAGCACGCAATTCTGCAAGACCTGAAAGCTTTTCTATGTTCTCAGATGACTCTTTAGCTCTTAATAATAGGCAAGTGTATCTTACAGAATTAGAGGTACAACACTAGAACAGTCACAACCCTCTGTTTTGCAGTGCAAGTATCTTTGGCTAAGCAGGTGGTGGCTTCTAAAGGTACTGAGTATATAGCTAATTTGTCTCACTTTGCTGGCCAAACTGGCAAATGACTATTGAGATGAAAGGATATTAGCAAGAAATGTAGCCTAACAGAAAGGCTGAGCCAAGTGATCTGCAGATCTCATATGCAGAGAAAAGTTTTTATATTTATTCTTGCTTGCCATGATAAGGAGCTACTCCCTATACTTTAACTGTATGAAGTAATAAAATGAATTTTCATGTAATGGAAAGGATATCTTCTTTTCTACTGAAATTACTCTCTCTACTCTTTTCCTAGTGCAAGAGTCATTTGTGTTCTGTTTCACCCCAAGCGCTAAGAAGAAGATGCTCCTTTAGAAGAGGCAGGAGCATAAGCTGAAAATATTCTTATGCTATCCCCACCATTGAATGAATTTCCACTGTCCTTCCCACACCAAGAGCACCCATAGGACCAGGGGCTGAGGAGCATCCCTGAATCCAGCAGGGCCAAGATGGGGTCGCTGCTGGTCTCAGGAGCCCCAGCCAAATCCTATGAATCCAGCTCCAGTGGCAGACTGGTTAGAAGGTAAACTGAATTTTAATTTCTCTTTTTTTTGCTGTGTCATCTTTCATAGCACAGCAGGGCCTCAGGAGGAAGATGCTGTCCCTAGGAGAAGAGCAAACCTCCTCCCAACCCTGTTGTGAAATGCTGGCAGAGGAACAGCTGAACACCTGAAATCTTCAAGACTTCAGAGACTTGAAATAAGGATCTAAATTGTTAGGTTTTCACCAGTTTGAAAAAAAAAATTATTTAATTTTAATTGCTGTTTACTAGGGTTAAATTTAAGACAGTCTCCTAAGAGTTTTCAGCAGAAGACTAATAAAAACAGAGGAGGACAATTAAGGAAGGGTTTACTTTCTTTTTTTTTTTTGAGGGCGGGGAATTGGTGGGATTTCTTTAGCCACTGAAAGGCTACAGTGTTCCTCAGGCTGAAGGTGTAGGGATGAGAAAAAACCAAAGAATCAGGCAAGAAGTCATCGACTTCTGAAATGTGAAATGTTTGGCTGCAACATTGGTTTCAGGTACTACTCTCATTGAGATGCCAAGCAAAACTCTAGTTGACGGGTAAAACCTAGTTCTGTTTATTACTCTAAGAAGTCATTTAAAAAGTCAATTTTTTTTATCCTGTTATTTTGAAAGAATAGTCTTTGATCCAGGCCACAGAGTAGTTTCTCCACTTGATTTTGGGATGTCACTGCTGCCATGCAAACAGGCATAGCAAAGGGCATATTTCCTGATAGGATTGTTCCCGAGCTTTTAAAGAAAAGGCCTCAAACTTTACAACAGAATCTGCATGACCCACACAAAGTTCCACCAAAAAAAAGACCAGCTTACACTTTAGGGTTTCTTGGAAACTTGACTGCAGTCCTCTCTCCCCTATCACACAGCAATTGTTCATTCCTTACCATAGGATCACAGCAGACATTTTCAGTAAGAATGGGGTGAGGGACCTTCCCTTTTTAGGGCAGATTTATTCACAGGTAGTGTAACTCTATGGAATGTATGACACTGAGAATCTCTCAGGCCACCTTTTCAGCTGTTCATAGGGTGAATAGTGTTTGGAACGCTTCAGCTTTAATATTTAGGAAACTACTTTGATTAAGATTGCCTTTCATACAGCTGAAAAAGGTCCATTTAAAATAGGAACCATTACAGACTACTTAAAATAATGCATTTGAAGGATAGTTCCAGAGAGAGTGAGAGGGAATAAGAGATCCAACTTACCAAAATTAAATTACAGGATATGAACAACAAAGGAGAAATCTTGCACTAGGAAGCCAGCAACAGTCAGAAAGCTCTGTACTAAGCAGCGATGATGAAGATGAAACAAGAGCTAATGATGTGTATGTGCCTACTATAGCATCTCAACAACAGGGATCACTGGACGAGGAAACTTAAAGTTCAAAGTACATATGCCTTATGACCCATCAAACATTGAATTTTGCTTTTTTTAAAAAAAATTGTATACAGACAGGACTAAGTTATATTGCTATGACCTGGCTTAACTTTGAAGCCTTCACTTTCTCTATTAATTTCCCTCTTTCAATGAGGACAACATCCTGTGTTGCATGATGATCAAATGATAACCACTTTAGGAGAAAAAGGCAGCCCAAGGCAGATTTACAACCTTGCCTGTATCCTTATAGACAAGTTGGGGGGTTATGCAAGGAAGGGAGATTAGTCACAGGCCATAGCTCACAATGTATTGCATTTACTTTTCATGCCAAGGTCTGGTAGTGATGTTGGATATGGAAATACTTTCACTAGTATTGATGAGGCTTGGCATCATGAGACCAGCAGGCAGCAGCCAGGTAAATTCCAGCAAAAACTCTTACGCATCCTCTGCTTTGTCACACACCGTGTCTGTCACACACTGCCTTTCTCTCTTGGAGCAGTGGCCATTCTTCCCGAGGGAGACTTGCACGTAGGCCATTGTGGAGGTTATGCTTTTATGGCCAGTTCTTGTTCAGTCCCATGAATGTAATGGAACCCTGATATGTTTGCATGTGGCATGGGGATCTTGCAGCTCATGTTGGGTGCCTGGGCAGTAAAGTCCCTATTCTGCAGAGAAACAGGAAAGTCCTGCTGCAGGGGTACTCCATTTGGATAAGAAAGATGCAATACATTAAGCTAATCAAATGAAATCAGGTGTCCATGTGACTAGGGAAGATGAAGATCATGAGAATTGTGACATAGAGTGTTTTTAAAGTGGGGGGGTTTGCGGAGGGGAGGGAGAGAAATGTAGGTTAAATAAAACTTACGTGCTTTGAGTCTTTTGGATTACTGAAAGGCAGTATAGCAGAGAACTTGAATTGGGAACTTTAAGGTGTCAGGTCTTAAATATGCCACCTAAAGGGTTTCTACTATTCTAAACCACAGTGCATTTTGCCAATGGATTTATAGATGTTTAAATTTTTGTTTTTAAATATATTGGTGAACAAATCCCACCCCTTGGTTACTATGAAAAAGGAATATTTTGTTCCTTCAGTCTCATGTTTCTCTGTTACAGAATGCACCTTTCTGCTCTGTTTAGGTGAGGCTGAAAGAGCTCAGTGCTGCAGCATTCAACATTGACCAAAGGGTCCTTCCTGAGGCTGGAACTTGCTAGAGCTGTCTGCAGTGTTACTCTGTAGTGTCAGACCGCATTCCCTTCTGGAACGAGGACAGCTCGATCCTTCAGTTACAAAGCTGCTACTGATGACCTGTTGGAGATTAACTCTGCCAGTACATAGACTGCCCAGTGCTGGAGACTGCTGTTACTTCAAATCCTAGAGCAGGGTGACTGACTGCATTTTCTCGCAATGAAAACTAAGATGCTGTTTCCTTAAGGACAGGGAGATCTGAACTCCTCATTACATGCAGCAAACTGAGAGAGCTAAAGACACACAGGATTCATCAAAAGAAATGTATCATGGCCAGTCAGTACAGTCAGATGATTATGTGACATTTTATATATCAGTAAACCTTGATGCCCAGTGGTATTAATGGCTGCTCTTTCTAGGTCTGTTCTCTCTAGGGAATGGCAACCAGCCACGAGGTGTCCGATTTTTACTCACAGGTAAGGATCCACATGTTGTCATCCTTTCTGCTTTGTGGGAGGGGGAACGGGGCAGAGGGGGAGCTGCTCAACTCAGTTGGTTAATGTGGGATGCTACAGGCAGCTGGCTTGAAGCACAGACCTTGCCATGGAGCTCCAAAAAATTCCTTTTTGGTTGTGTACGCAGAGGGAGAAACCCTTGCCAAGAGGGCACTGGCAGATCTGTGGGTCCCTTATTATCCTAGGAGTGATGAACTGATTCCAGATACTCCAAGTCCTACTGGCCTGGTGCCAAAAGAGCAGCAAACTCAAATCCTTTCCTCCCAATACGGGTTGTGGTTTCCTTTCTTCAAGATTCTGTGAAATGAACAACTGTTTTTGTCAACCCACTGCAGCCATCTCAGTCGGTGCCTCCCTGTTGCCCTTGAGACTGCCAGGGCTTGCCCAACCTGCAGGACAGAACTAACTTATGATGACTATCATCCAGTTTACACGAGTACTTCTGTTTCTGAAATACAGACTCAGATGGATTTGGAGAGTTAGGTCTTAGAGGGACTTTTTTCTTCATGTATATAGTTCTTGTTGTTTACAATTCCATTTTTCCTGAATTTAGTTATAAATAAAGTCTTAATTGATTTAAATACCACAAGTCTGTCTGCTCATCTATGTTGGACTCTGCTGAGACTTCTTTTAACAGGTGGAAATAACAGCCTTTTTTGGATCAGTCAAAAGCACTTATTCTTTTCATCACACTGAAGTAATTGATTTGGGCAGGGGAAATGCTAAAGGCATAAGCTTTGTAGTTCCTGTGGCCAGGGTGTGTTTTATGGGGAAAAGGAAACAGGCACTGCTTGGGGCATGAGGGTTTCTATTTCTTGGGACAGACTCAGATAGATATTTTGGTGCAAATGTCCTGATTTAGGTGCCCTGAAGATTGAAAGAGCAGCAGGTTGTGCATACATCCAAAGAAAACTATCTTCTTTCAGAATAACTTGCACGTATCTAGACAGCTTGTTTATAGTCCGAGCTGCTCCTTGTTATGCCCATAGTTATGATGTTCCACTGATGACTGCCAGCTGATGACAGGAGCACTGCCAGCTTCTATGAAGCTCTACCCCTTCTAAAAAGCCTGTAAACTTAGGAGCAGTTGCAAGAATACAGCAGTGCAAAGTGCTGTGTTCAACATTTAGCTTGCAAAATAGAAGACACTTTAAGTAGTGAGGTAAAGACATAAAGCAACCACCGGAGCGCACCACCACCATGATCATTACCATCGCTGTCATCTTCATCACCACCACCATTTACCTTTCCCACTGCAGTGTAACTGCAGTTTTCATGGGGCACATATTGTTTGCTCCTTGTTTAGAAAGTAAATTCACGTTGAAGTTTATGCGATATTGCCCTGAATAGGACCAAGGCAGTATGTTTGTTAGAGCCTGACTGAAAGAGTATTCAAATTAACGGGCACTCTTCAGTTGACTTTCAGGGGCATGCAGTTGGGTGGTGCATGTAGTATAAGGAGCATCCTCAGCTACTGCTACTTAAAGTCACTGCAGGTACCTAAAGTCAATTGGGCTGTGCCAGCTTGTTCCAATAAATTCTTCTCTTTGTGTGGAGATACAGGAATAAAATGCCTTACCCATAGAGAGAGCCTGTAAGGGCACATGGGAAAATACTGGAACTGTGAGAAGACAGTAAATGATTTCAACAACATTTCATGGGGAAATAGAAAATAATACCTCCAGCTGATTACTTTCAAGCAATTGCATGCTGGCCTCTGAAAAGGTGTGATATTATTCTTTGAAGTCCTGTGCTAGTGCTGTTACACTCACTATACACACAGGAAGTATTAGAATAGACATTTGAGAGAGTAGTTTAAAATTGGCTAACTCTAAGTTTTTCTATAAATTTTAAGAAGTTTCTCCCTTTATCTGGAGCTAACATCTTTTCAAAATTCAGATATTCATATCTAAATAACTGTTTAACATCCTATCATTCCTACTGAGGAAAAGTCAAGTCACTTTGCATGAAAACTGTATCTGCTAAGTAATAATGAAACCCAGCCCATATTTCACTCAAGGCAGCATCATGTATTTTGGGTATTCACCCAAATGATAGCCTAATGATAGCCTAACACACCCACTTCACCCAACCAGGTGCTGCATCCTTGTGAGACTCTTACTCAGGTAAAGCACCTATTGAAATTAAAAAAAAAAAAAATACCTCTAGGAATTTCTGGGAATCTGCAGGGCTTTCTAAGACAGGCTCAAAACTCATTCCAGTGACTATGAGGAACACATGCACAGTCATGAATAGATGACTTGGGATCACAGAGCCTGATGTAGGACAGCGGTGGCTTTCCTCTGTCTGTCAGGGAAAGTGATGCTCTGCACTTTTGCTGTCACCACTAGTGCTGAGTCTATGGGAAGAGCTACATCTTCTAACATGGCCCAATTAATCACACATTCAGTGATAAGTTCCTGAATGCCAGCAGGATGAAAAAAGTGCATAAACAAAGCAGTCTGACACCTGCCTTACTGCTCTTTGTATTAGCAAACCAGTGTAACTTGGGGTCAGAGCAGATTACAGCAGGGAGAGCCACAAGAGCATCAATGACTTCTTCTCTTGCCCATGCAATCTACACAGGCACAGCTTGGTTCTGATCCAGTCACTGACACGCTGGTCTAAATACACCTTATAAGGATTTCTTTAGCTTCCCAACTGTCACATGAGTGGCATCCCATGGTGAGGAGCTGGCAGAGGAAACTGAGGCAGATGGCTTCTCAGACCCTTCCTCATCCAAAGGGCTCCAAGTTGTTGTGCTTCTTTGGAAATCTGTCTGCATTTCCATTCCCCAGCAGGGAATAAAGAAGAGCATGACATCTACCACTTTATTCTCCCATGGCTGTGTCCCATGACAGCTCAAGTCTAAGGGCAAAGCACTTCTTTCCTTTATCCCCTCCAAAAGGGAAATGTGTGCTCAGGCCTCCTTCAGCACCAATGTGTCTTGTTTCCAGCTCACACCTTCCCACTCATTTTCCTCCGGTCTTTCCACTCCTTTTCCAGCTTTGTATAAACACTTCAAAACCTGTCTTATCTCCATACACCAAGTGCACAGCAATGCCAGGACTGGCCAGAGTTAACAGCAGGAAGTTTCGAGTCCTGCACCAGATGGCTGAGAGAGTCTAGCAGCTCCTAACAGTGGGGGAAGCAGAGGAGTGACAGCCTGACATGGCAATAAGGAAATATTTTTTTGCTCCACAGCACACTTGTCTCAGCATTTGCAGAGTTGCCAGGCCATACGGTATGCTGTCAGGAGAACCAAGCTGCAGGGAGGGAAGCGGGAAGCAACCCTTCAAACTACGGGCTGGCTTCCTGCAGGGAATTTTTACTTCTTTTCTTCCCATTGCCTGCCTTGTTTTAATGCTGGCTGCGGTTGAAGCAAGGGCTTTATGAAGGAATGTTGCTGGTTCTTTCTGTATATTACTGAGATAAAGAGTGGCAGAATTAAGTGACTGAAAATGAACTCTGGGGTTTTTTTGTTCCTCTTTTTATTTTATTATGGTTTACTTTGGAGTTGGGGTATGTTTCTGATTGCTAGGAAATGGGCTTGCTCAGGGCAGTCATTTTTTTACCTTCCATTAGAACAGCTGCCAAAAGGGGGTAGCTGCTTATACCCTCTTTTTATTCAGCCTTCAGAGTCCTTAAACTGCTCCATCTCCTGCTTGATGAGACAAACTGCAGCTTGTCCGCATTGCTTGAGAGTGACCTGAAATATATTTGAGCAGACCATGGTATTCTGGAGGCACTTCCTCCCCACACCACAAAGCCACCTTAAAACATTGACCCTTTGTGTTTTTGGGCTGCAGAAACATAGGAAAGGTGTGTGCACACCGTAGAACGTATAGAAAACTGAACTAGGTGGGATTCTTGCTGGCAACTCGTTAGCCGCAGAAGCTCTGTGCTTCTGGCTACATGGCACCAACCAAGCAGGGTGTGCGACTTGGCACTGCCTGAGCTGAGCTGCTGGACGCTGCTTGTTCAGGGCAACCTGGCTGTCTCCCTCCCCTCTCTACTGCAACGATGTAGCATGGATGTACCTTTGGAGGTTGCTCCTAACTTCAAGTGTTTAAAGTCACATCAGACATAGAGAAGGAGAAGGAGAATTTGCCTGCCTCTGCAGCTAATCTGGCTGCAGCTGGGTGAGGTTGTGTCTCAGCCTGCTGCAGAGCTAGAAACAAAAAGTCAGGCTCCAAAGTCCTGGCTGGTCACTGCACTCGACCAGAAAAATGAAGAACATTGAGAATGCCAAAGCTTTACTTCACAAGACTGCTGGCAAAGACTGTACAACACAGAAATGGACTCCCAGTAGGTTCATAAGCAAATAATGCCATAAAATGAAAGTTATTCTTTCCTACAGCAGAGCCGATGAATCTGACAATGCATGTAACAAGATTTAATTTAGGCTTTGAAGTAAACTAGCATTTAGAGCAATTTGTATGTATTTTTTTATTGGTTTTGCAACCCTAATGTGGACTGAGCACGGATTCACCAGCATTTCAAATAAACAGGCTCTCTGCCCCAAGACAAATTCGCCAAAGTGACTGAGACCTACATAATTCAACCGATGTGCTAGGAGAACTGGAGATGTGTTCAGCTCAGGATGTGCAGTGCTGCGGCAATAACATTAGTAGTTCCAAGCTGAAAAGGTAAACAAAATGACGAAACACTTTAGGATGAGCATTAATCAAAACCTCAGGGAACCTGGGGCAGGTTCAGAGAAGGATTCATGCTCTGTATGTTAGACCCCTTCTGTCAGCCTTGGCACTGCTCCCATATAGCCATATTGTGCTATTACAGCTCCTCTAACAAGGGATGTATGTCATGTAAGCACAGCCAGGAAGAACACTGCTCCCTCCCCAAATAATCATGCTCCCTCCCCAAAAATTTTCCTTTAAAGCTTGCCACTACATTCCTGTCTCCAGTGTGTAAGTGCCTTTTATGCCAAGCCTCACCAGTTCAGGATTGATTTTCCACCATTCCAGCCCCCCCCTACTACCAGGATTCCTCAGCCTGCAAAACATAACTATGCTAAGATAACTATTCCCAGAGGGAATGCCTTCAGTCCCTGACTGTGTAGTGCAGGCAGTATGGGAGGCTCAGTGTACTGGCTGAGCAAGCATTGTCTTGGTATGAAAAGATGTAGAGAGGCCAGGAAAAACCAAAGACATGTAGCTCCACAGAAGTTATAGAAGCAAATGCAGTGTTCACAAACTCTAAAAACTTTTGGACAGGCAGTGGTTCCCCTACATATCTAACAAGAACAAAGGATATTTGTCTATCTTGAAACCACTTCCTTTTCTTCACCTTTCAGCATTTTGCCAGACAACTAGAGAACTTAAACAGTGTCATTTGAAAGAGGAAATTGAATCAGACCCCCTTGCAAACACAGAACAGGTGGAGCAAATAGCACATGTTCAGACTGTAACCTAGGTTAGGTTTACATTTGCATTTACAGCTGAAAACTCGACAGTTGTCCCTAAGCCATTCATGCACAGAAGAAAACAAAATGCCATCAAATACAGTATTTTCTAGGAAGCACTTACTCACATTTATTTTAAAAACAGTCTTTAGAAATGGA